TTTTTCTTTAAGTAAAATTTATATTTTATAATATTATTTTCCTTAGAAATAATGCTCCAACTCCTGTAGAACCTACAACTGAAAATTTACCAATTCCCCAATCGGATTCATCGTTTACAGTATCCAGTAGTGGTGGTTTATCATCGAGTGCACCACTTCCTAATACGTAATTTTTAATAATTTTCTCTAAAACAAAAATACAACATATTGCCTTTATATAGAATTCTAAACATAAATGAAAATCTTATGATCGATAAAGAAAATGAAAATGAAAATGAAAATAATTCAATAACTGTTCGAATTAATAAAATGGAAAGTGATAATGAAGAAGTAGAAGAAGAAGCTCATGACATTCGTGGTTCAGATGATGATGAACAAGAAGATCCAAAAGATTATTGTAAAGGTGGTTATCATCCAGTAGCTATCGGTTCAACATTTAATCAACGTTATCATGTTATACGTAAATTAGGATGGGGTAATAATAAACAGAAAATATTCGAAATTATTTTCTTTTTTTGTTTTTTCCTTCATTATTTAGGTCATTTTTCAACTGTATGGTTATGTTGGGATCGTAAATCTGCAAGATTTGTTGCTATGAAAGTTGTTAAAAGTGCTAAACATTATACTGAAACAGCTATAGATGAAATAAAATTATTAACAAGTGTTCGTGAAAGTGATCCATCTGATCCATTTCGTCTTAAATGTGTTCAATTATTAGATGATTTTAAAGTTGCTGGTATCAATGGTACACATGTATGTATGGTTTTTGAAGTACTTGGTCATAATTTACTTAAATTAATTATACGTTCAAATTATCGTGGTATACCAATACCTAATGTTAAATTAATTATTAAAGAAGTACTACAAGGTCTTGATTATTTACATCGAAAATGTCAGATTATTCATACGGATGTATGAGAAATGATTTTCTTAATTTTAAAAATAAATACTTTTTTTTTTTTTGTTTCCTATAGATTAAACCAGAAAATGTTCTTATGTGTGTTGATGAAGAACATATACGTGCTTTAGCATATCAAGCTTCTGAATGGCATAAAAATGGAGCTAAACCTGTTGGATCAGCTGGTAGAAAATCTTTTGTTTGTTAATAAATTATTCATTTTTTTTTTTTTTTTTTGTAGTCGCTACGACACATATTGTCAATAAACCAGATTTAAAAACTATGTCAAAAAATAAGAAGAAAAAATTAAAGAAAAAAGAAAAACAAAAACAAAAAATGCTTGAATTAACACATCAACAAATTCAAGTAAATTTAATTTTTTTTTTTTCAAAAATATTTTCATTTTGAAAATTTTTTTCAAGGATGCAGAAAAACAAAAACAAAAACTTTTAAATTCACCAAATAAAATCGATATAAATAAATTATCTATTACGGAAGAAATAGAACTTTCAATAGATGAAAAAAATCTTAATGGACATAAACAAAATTCACCAGAAGAAAGTGATGAAGATAATTCTGGTAATGTACATGAAAATAATGAAACTGAACAATCACTTAATGAACAAGCAGCTATGGCTGCAGCTGCAGCTATTTCAGGTGATACAAATAAACAAATAAATTCAAATGAATCTGATTCATCAGATAGACGTATGTCTTTTCTTTATTGTTGTTTTTGAATTTAAGAATAATTATTTTAGCTCGACCAATGGCTGAACGAACACCAAATCCTGTTTTTGAACTTGTACCAGAAGATGTTCTTCAAGTTAAAATAGCTGATTTAGGAAATGCTTGTTGGACAGTAAGTTTAAGCGAATAGAAAAATAAAAACATTTTTATTTGATAATTATTTTATTTTCTTAGTATCAACATTTTACTGAAGATATTCAAACACGACAATATCGTTCACCTGAAGTTATACTTGGAGCTGGTTATGATACATCAGCTGATATATGGAGTGTTGCTTGTATGGCATTTGAATTAGCAACTGGTGATTATTTATTTGAACCACATAGTGGAGAAGATTATAGTCGAGATGAAGATCATATTGCACATATTATTGAATTAGTAGGTCCAATGCCGATTGAAATTGCTCATTCCGGTCGATATTCAAAAGAATTTTTTAATAGACGAGGTAACATATGTTTGTTCTTTTTTTTTTCGTATATAAAATTAAATTTAGGACAATTACGTAATATAAAACAATTAAAACCATGGGATTTATATCATGTATTAACTGACAAATATAAATGGCCACCATATGAAGCTATTGAATTTACACATTTTCTCGAACCAATGCTTCACTTTGATGTTAATCAACGTGCAACAGCTGCTGAATGTTTAATGAATCCATGGTAAATTATCAGAAAATTTTTTTACAAATGTTACAATAACATTTATATTAACTTTAATCTATAGAATTCTTATAATTCTGTAAATGTTTAAGTCATATGAATCTTTTAAAAGATTAACATTGTCGATTAAATATCAAATTTATTTAACTTTAAATTGATAATTAAAATTTTGAGAGGTTCTATTATAGGAAAACTGTTAATGCAATTTGTGAAAGATTAAAATCGTAAAACATGATATAGAGCTACTCTTGCTAATCATAGGAACATTGTTTTACTTAATCGTTCAGAAATGCAATAAGAAAATAGTTCATATACTAGAACAAGACATTATTGATATAAGACCTGTTACTATCTCTGACAAACGTCTATCACAGTCGGTAGAAAGGGAGTGGATTCAAATTTTTAAAACAAAAATAAAACCATGATTTAATCTTAGACATATATATATATATATATGTCTTATGAGGGAAGTGTTCCAATTGATTAATCGTTATTGAGTTCAGATTATGTACATCCTGTAGACTCTAATAAACTATCAATACTTTGAGAAGAGCTTGGATCTTTAGGTTATTGTATTTTTTAAGTCAATGGTGTGGTCTTGGTTAGGAACACTAAGAAAACTGATTTTCGAATTTCGACTTAAAACTTTCTATCGCGGTAGAACTTAATGAGAATATTTTATTGTGAATATTTCAGATCTTTTCGTTGTTCCTATTCTAAAATACAGTTATGATAAAATCTTATCTTGTACACTTCTCATATGCATTGACAGATTAGATATTCTTGTATGAGGAAAGAAGCAAATTAAAGGATTTGAAACTTTCACTATAAATTTTTCTCATTAAGATCTATATCTATACAAAGTTTCAAGTTGGAATTTGAAAATAAGTTTTTCTTGTGTTCTTATCATGGCATTGACTGAAAAAAATATTGTAGAATATAAGCTAAGAGTTCCAACTCTTCTCATAGTATTCATAGCTCATTAGAGTCTGTATGATGCATATAGTTCACACTTCAAAGCGATTAATCAATTAAGAGATTTCCTTTGTTAGACTTGAAGAAAATTCTTATTGCTATCTTTATCCTAACTTGATTTTCTAGGAAAAAAAATTTTTTTTTTCTATCAGATACGTAATTATACAAAATTCATGTGATTTATATTTAGGATCACTGGTGAACCATTATTTGATAATTCAGTTGATGGTCTTCTATATTCTGAACAATTTGGTTATGGAAGTAGTAATGAGCCTAATTCATTGGCAGCTCAAGCTGGTGCTGTTGGTTTTGATTTTCATTCACATTCAGCAACTGACCTTGATAGTTTCTTATCAGCAGCTATGGGACATCATCAAATATTGCATGGTGTTGGTGGTTTTAATCCAAATGAATACGATGAAGAGGAAATATCTGAAGATTATGATGATATAGATGAAGATGATGATGATGAACAATTAAATGGTGATGATAGTAGTCAAGGCGAGCTTGATGAATGATTATTAAAATAGGATGGCTGTGTATATGCATACATATTTTATGTATCACTTTTGAATCTTTTCAAAATAGAAACAGAAATACCTAAATACCAAATGCAAAACAAAAAAGCGTCTGACTGTGATACGCATAGGTATAGTCTAGCAGCCATATTTTTTTTTTTTCGTTTGCATGTTTGTTTATAAAACAGTGTTCGCAAAAAAAAAGCATTCCCAAACTTTAGAAGAGCATCAAACAAAATGAGATCAATGTACATTTTTCTTTTCTTGAAAGCAAGGAGGCTTCAATAGGTATTTGTGTTTCTCACATACGTATCCCGTTCAATTTTTTGTTTGTTTGTCTCTTGTGTTTTCTTTTCGTTCTTGCGATAATAAGTTTACTTTACTTTTGCCCTTCTAATATCTATCGTTCACTCTATCATAAAACATTTTTCCTTTTTTCTTTTTTTTTTGTGTGCACTTAATGCGTTTGTTGAGAAAAAAAATCGCGACGATCGATTTGTATGACACATACACGTTAGTCAGTTTTTGCGCTCGAGATGTTTCTCTGAACTCTTCTTTTTTCATTCTTCTTTTTCTTCGCTCGCCTTCTAAAGATCTCATCATCCTCAAATAAAGAAAAAACACATGCGTTCAAAATTCTACACAAAAAGATTCGATCATGATTGATATCAAACTAACACTTTCGAAAGAAAAAAAAAGAAAGATAATTTAAATAATCGATTATATACATGAAAGTTTTCTATTTCAATATATCAAGCTCTACATAGCCAGTAAAACACTTTGGTAAGCTTACAACAAATTTTTGTATTCACTGATAAAAATGCAACATCGAGTTAATATAATAAAATATCATGAGTTATATTAAAAGTTTATTGATAGACTAATCATCTTGATGATACTTGAAATATTTCAATGACATTATTATCTAAACAAGCGAAAGTGAAATAAAATAATTAACTAATGTCTGAAGTAGAATCTAATAGTGCATCTATTTTCGACTACTGTATTATTGTTTTTCAATATTGAGGAACTGATCGAAAATCATATTATCGGTTTTTTAAAACTATTTTAGACTGAGAGGTAAAGCTCTGCGGTTCCAAAAAAAATGGAACCGAGAACCGGATTTTTCTGTTTCTCTTATCTGAAACCGTTAGCAATCGAAATTTTTCTTGAGGGTGAGAGTTTCAAGATGTGTAGATGTTGCAAGATGCACATTATATCAGTACCTTTCTCTATTTATCCACGAAAAGTTTTCATAGTAATCCTGGTATTCAAGAAAAAGCTCTTAAGTCAGTTAAAATGGAAATTATTAAACGGCAGACAACAATACTATCTACTACTCCATCATCTGTTCATACAAATTCACTTGATTTTCAATCGACAACATCAAAAGGTCTTCTGTCATACTGTTTTCATATACCACAAAATTTCTTAACATGGTCAACAATGCCATATGAATTAGATGAATATATGCCATCGAATGTCCCATCCAGTGGTTATGATGATGTTTTATAATTCCGTGACAACAGAATTTAAAATTACCAATCTTATTTTCTATACCTGAAGATTTTTATGCTGTACAAACATCGAACATCATTGTAGAAGGACTGTTCTCGTCTGCAAAAAATACAAATATCGATAAGTACATCGATCTTGGTGCGGAAAAATATTCCTATTGTTATTTTTTCAGAAAAATTTAGCATTATTAAAATCATATGATGAGAAAAATTGATGAAGTTGATAGAACTGAAACGAAAAGAAAGATGGTTGAACAGTCATTTTCTACTATCTCCTGTCCAAAGTAATTAACAATCTACAATTACGACAATAAAAAAGACGTTTATAATGAATAACGACGATGATATTGTTCTTTGTGATCATGATTATTGAGAGGATAAGGAAATCATGAAGGAGATGTTTTTTTAGAACTTGAAATATTAATATTTCATATGAATATATCGTATGTTAGTGTTTTATCTCATTATTTGACTTTTTCTTCTACCAGTGGCGTAGCCAGGAATTTTCGAACTATGGATCGTTTACCAGCTAAATTATTTTGAGTGCTAAGCAATAACGGACAGCTGAAAAATCAATTGGGCTATTACTTTTTTCAAAAACTGTCTTCTCTCAGAAAAGTTGATGTTTGACGTAAAAAGATTTATCACTCTCAACTAAGAGAAACTCTATCTCTTTTGCTGTTTTTATTTATAAAAGGAGCTTTCCATTTTCACATAATCGCTTATTTAACTTCGAAGGAAGGTGTAAAAAGATAGAATTGTAACTGATGACAGTAAGCATCGTAATTCCGATCCGTTGGGAGTTTTTTAGCAACTGATATCGAGTTTTTCAGGGGTGTGGGTGTGGGTGTGGGTGTCAGTGTGAGTGTGGGTGTCGGTGGCTAGGACGTACCGGGTGTGAGTGTAGATATCCATGTGGATGGGAGTGAACAGAAGGCCCCAACGCACACCCACACCCACACCCTAAAACATCTTTCAATCGGATGAATAAGATCAAAAACTCTTTGACGAACCATTCTGCCTATTATTTGTTGATAAGGTTCAGACTATTTCTTTCAGAGATTTTCGTGTTCGATCGATCACCAGTGTACATATCTGATATCATTGATAGAGAAAAAGAAGAATATCGAGACTAAAGACTGATCTTGTCAGAAGATTTCACCAATATTTATTCGAATACGATCGAGTTTTTGTTTTAGATGATATATAAAACGGTTGACAAATTCGTATGGCACTTCGACGACTATGTTCCTGACATTGTGAAGGAATCTCAAAACATGCAATTGAATCACATTCATTACACTAACTATCGGTTTCTCATGTTATTGAAAATTTTCATGCATTGTTCATCCTATAGTCTTTTGTGCATATTGAACGATTATAAGTATCGATTATAAGACTGGAAATTCTGACTGAATCTATCGATGGTTTTCAATATTTATCGAATGATCGTTCGAATTCATGTGCCGATCGGAAGATGAGAAAAAAAAATTGACGATCGGGTCCAAATCTATTATTGATCAGAATCTGCGATGGATAAACAATGAGTTCACTGACTATTTCGATGTTTCTTGTATTTATATGTGGATCAAATAGCAAGTATTCGATTACTAGGAGAGAATTTATTTCATACGAATTATTTTAATGAACTTTTCATTTTTGTGGAAATAGATTTTTATTGATGAATTATTAATTAAAATCCAAGTTAAAGACGATATCCGGATTATTCAAATATAGAAGATCAGATAAATGTTTTAGTGATCTTCATTCAAAATTCGAAAGCACTTATTGATTTACTCGGATTATTAACCGTTTATTTGAATATATTAGACTGAAAATCAGTATAACTAAAATATTTAACTACTCTTACTTCTGTCTGTGTAAATCTTCAAAATGAATTTCTTGATTTGATTGAATAGCATCATCTTTGATATATAACAATTATTCAAATATACTACAGTACAAAATCAACGGTATTAAATGAAACATTTTCTTACCTCAGCATTCTTCAATTAAAATAACATATTTAGTGTCTAAAAAAGAGATTCAATTAAAATTAGAAATTTTTGTTTCGGATTAACTCACCTCGAGTAATAAAACAACCTCCTAGATCAAGTGTATATTACCTAAAATATTCAATTCATTGAAAAATCAACAAATTATCTTCCAATTTTTGATCCTTGTAGTATAAAACATGAATTCTCTCATGTGTATTCAATATGAAGACAAATCGTAGTTGAATAAGACATACAATGAAGAAGACACGAATTTATAAAAAAAAAAGATTTCAATTTAAATGAAGATTATTTCATAAGATGTTATTGATCGTATTATCTTCAATAGATGATCAAAGAATTTCAATATTGAAATATATCTAATAAAACATTTCAATGATTTGATCAATAATAAATCTAAAGTTTAATTTAATAAAAAAAAAAAAATTCAATTTGTAATCTAATCTCGTCTAGTATTAACAAAATAATTAAATGAATGAAGATGTTGTTTAACAAATCTTTTCATTTTAAGAAAAGCAGGAACAGCTTTCCATATATCCTATCAAATAAACCAAAGTTCACCTAAAAATTTTTACATAAAAAAACGATTGAACTACTTGAATATTTTTCCTTGGTGCAGGAGATAGTCCGGACTCTTCAAAGTTTACGGGAAGAAGGATTGAGAGAAACATTTTCCTGAATTCACGATTCAAAAATAACAACAGATTCCTAATTGGTATTTGTGTATATTTTAGTGCATAGAAATTTCAGTTCTCTGAATATAATCTTGTAAAGTAATGACATATTCAAAGAGAAGATATACATATAGAGATTTTTTGATGAAAAAGTCCGACTATCAGAAGAAAGATGTCTAGACAAATGACGAGTTAATCAGCATTAAAAGATAGAATTGCATTTTTCTCCGACAGATTTAATGTTAGTTTTTCTACTATTTACGGTACAAAAAATACTTTCAACTACAGAACACTTTACAAAATGAAAACAGTTCGATTTTATCTTTAAATATTTTGACGAAAAAAATTGGCTCAATATCAAATTGAAAAGAGTTTGTCGACACCTCTCGAACAACGAAGGCGTTTGCGCTATGGACTATTGATCAAAGCCATTCTTTCCAGAAAGCACAATGAATTAAAGTTTCCCCAAATAAAGTTTTAAGTTATCAAAACTGATGCTATTTTGCGAATTGGAAATTTTTACTGCATCGATCAGAAATTTCTGTTTCTATGCGTTGTTTCTTCTCAAATATCAAAACATCGTCGAAGTCCAATTATGGTATTTGTTAACAAATTTTGCTGGCAAAAGTAATCACTCTTGTGATAACTGTTCAATAATTAAGTGTTGTAGACGTCAAAGACATTTCAACCTATTGCCAAAACTAAAACTCAGAGAGTTTTTAGATCGACTATGACTGTGTAGTTGCTACTTTTTTGCGAAACGAAAAGTTTTTGATTCTTTTTTATAGCTTGTTCAAGGAAAATATCATTTTGTGGGGGGTTTTCAGAAAAAATTTATCAAATCTCTACTCTGTGTTTGTTTTTGGATCTTTTCACTGGCAAAAATAATAAAAATTCCAGTTATTTGGGAGAGAGGGATGTCTAACTTCAGACACTTTGCTCCTGTTGGGCCACCACTTGACTATTAACAAGGTAGACTTTGACCAAAAAAAAGAAATTTTCATAGAACATAACATAAGAACTAGTTTTTCCCGAGGTTTTGATTCAGTAAAAAGGAAATTTTGTTAAATATGGAGAATTGCAATGACTCCAACAACTCACACACAGTCGAGTTAGTTCTGCACTGACGCAGCGAATTAATCAAGGTCACCAATATATTTATCATCTAGTGTTTTTTTTTCTTTTAAACATCCATTTTCTGTTATTCTAGAAAAAAAATAATTTCACCATCAATTATTAGATAGTTGTGTATTGGAATTTAATTTATCTCCCTACACTTGCCAATTAAAACCCTTACATGATCCGACATCCAGTAATTCGACACATTGAACATCTTCAAATAGATCCAATAATTTGTTGTTTCAAGTACAACTGATATATAAGCGTTAACTTGAATTCAACTTTACAAAACTAGTCTACTTCTATTGTCCATTCTCTTTCCTTCTTATTTTATTTTCTTGTGTTTAAAATTGTAATGCAAAGCCGTGATGAGTATTTAGATTTTGTTATTAGAATACATTCATTTAATTTCTAGAAAACAATCGATTACTAACAGCAACAGTTGAGAACAACAGATTGTATTTGTTTTTTCTTCAAGATAGATAGATTAGTCTATTTTGAAATTGATTTTCCCTTTTTCTCATCCTTATGATAAAACGCATGTGAACAAAATATGTGTACATGAATCAAAAAGATACTTGATCACCTTGAGCTTAGACTTGTTCTGTGCTTTAGTGACGCTATGCTTGTTTATTTTTCTTCTTTCCTCTTTTCTCCGCTGATTTTCATAATCAATACCAAATATGATCGCCCAAATATATTTGTCGAACATGTTTTTGTTGTTCTGTTAGTATTATTAACATCCACGTGCATTAAAAATGTGTATTTTATATTCTAATCGTATTAATAATGCGTACAAATGATTGTCGTTGTTGATGATTAAAAAGTGAGTTGATTTCAATCACTGTTGTTGCTCGCATTTTGCACCGCATCAGAATCTTTGTCGATTCCTTTGTGGATGATAGCATAGAAGAAGTTAGGATCAGTATGACATTGTTTAACAATCTAACTTCTAATTTGTAATTTTTTCCCTCTTCGTTTAATCTCATTTTGATCAGTATTTGTGCAATTTTTCTTCTGTTTCTCTTTTTTTGCTCAAAAATCTAGTGCACATTTCAGCAACCATTTTCACGAAAATGAACAAGACAATCAGACATTTTTTTCGACTCATTGCGAGAAGATCACGGAATAATCGAATCACAGAATTTAGAACTGAAATTCTCTGTCAAAACAAATATTTTTTTTGCACGATAAGGAATTTCTAGTCGAATCGATCATCTGACTACTTTTTTAACTTTATTATCTAGCAAAAGAGTATTTTTTTGGGCTAAAAATTCTGGAAGATTCGACTGGTCCATAGATGATTGACTTGAATATTTGATATATTTCTGTTCTCATAGTGATCCATGTCCACGAATACTATCATCGTAAGTCGCGAGATATTTGAGGCACTTTTTGTTGTTTGATACTTTTTTTTCGAAGCATTTTAAAAGATCAACATTTAGCTCTTGAATATATAGTATCTTATCTTCAAATTGTGAAAATTCTGAGTAGGTTTAGAAAAAAAGCTTCAGATAATAAAATGTTTTGCATATATTCAGAGTTTCAGTGAAAGATTAGTCAAAAATATGTCGGAAACAGATCAAAACATGCTGCAGAATCATTCGTTGGTATCAATACATGATCTTGAACAACAGAAAATTCCATCTACATCAATCTCTATCCATATGTGTAAAACTATCGAAGATGATCAGTCCCTCGAACAATTATCAAAATTCGTTGATGAGCCAGAAATTACAAAATCAACATTGGGACCTTTTAAGTAAGGAAGATTTTATGAATAGATATTTCTTACTATTCTACTCAATCAACTTGAGGTGTTTAAGTAAAGAAGAACCGTGTTCTTCGAGCCTTATGAGGGAAGGCCACCAACTGTTCAATCACTTTTGAGTCGAGACTATGTGTATCATGTAGGTTCTAATGAGTTATGAATACCCTGAAAAGAGTTCGGGCTTATAGTTAATTGCTGCTAAGATAATGCATTTTTATGATATTTTTTAATTGAAGACTGTGGTTCTCCTCAGGAACACTAGGAAAACTGAGTTTCGAATTTCGAACTGAAACATTCCACAGAGAGAGGTCTTAATAAGAATAGTATATTGTGAAACTTTCAGATCTTTTTGTTGTTCCTGTCTTAAGATACAGCCATGGCAAAGGCATAACTGTAGTGCACTCATATACATCGACAAATTCCGATTTTCTTATTTCAGATAACGAGCAATCAAAAGATCTGAAACTTTCATAATAGACTATCCTTATTAAGACCTCTCTCTGTGGAAAGTTCCAGTACGAAATTCGAAACTCGGTTCTCCTAGTGTTCCTGAGGAGAACCACAGTCTTCAGTTAAACAATACCGTAAAAATGCATTATCTTAGCAGTAATTAGCTATTAGACCGAACTCTTTTCAGAGTATTCATAACTCATTAGGACCTACACGATGCGCATAGTCTTGACTCAGAAGCGATTGGACAGTTGGTGGCCTTCCATCGTTAGCTCGAAATAGTGATCAGTTTTGCTAAAAGCAAAGAATTTCTTCCTCTTTGGGCTTGACGGCAAGATTTTTTTTCTGCCGTGAGATGACATATTTGTTTTCGTAGTAATTCGCCGGTATCTGAAGAAGCATCTGGGTTCTCCTCGTCCGGCGTCGATTGTAGTTCTCACGCTGAATCTACATTGCATTGTTGGTTGCCCTACTTATCCAGAAATTCTTCTTCTCGTTTATGTGTCTATATTTCATGTAAAAACGATAAATCGATTTCTGACTTGCCTCTGATTGGATGTGCTACTTGTTCACTAATCATGCATGCTGTTCACCTTTCCGAATTGCAAGAAGCAACGACAAATGCTCATCATGCAATTCCACGATGTCGTCCATCGTTCACGGATGTTTGTACAACAGACGATGTTGGTATGCATGATCAGCACTATTGGTCGCAAATTCCGTCTCTCTCGGTCTCATGCACACATTGCAAACATAAGTCATTAAAGGACACCAAACATGACAATGGTAAGCGGGCATTAATCAAGCTGACAATCGGTAATGGAGCAGGAAATACAAATACAAAACTGAATGAATCTTCGAGCGGTCTTGTGTGTTTGTGGTGTTTTCGAAGGTATCATCGAAGATGCTGGGAAACCATCGAGGATGATCAAGACAAAATCAAATGTGATTACGGCAAATTTAAGTAAACTCAGATTGAACATTTTCATATTATCTTTATGTTGTTATTCATTTAGAGACATTATAGTTCGCCCTCAATGGCTACGTTGCATAGCTAATTCTTCTTTTGGATTTCGTGCGCAAATGCTGAATTATCTTGAGACGAACGATGTATCGTCAACACCTGTTATATTTTTCATCAATAAACTTTCCGGCGGTCAAAAAGGTGATCAAGTCTATCGTACGCTTGTTCATCTACTCAATCCGCGACAAGTATTTTTACTCGAAAATGATACAACGATTATGCAAGCTCTAAACATCTATTCGTCTCTGTCTAACATACGTATTTGTATTTGCGGTGGTGATGGCACAGTTGCCTGGATACTTAGTCGACTTATGGATGCGTTTCCGTCGTTGAAAAATCCGCCGGTAAGCATTTGTCCATTAGGCACTGGTAATGATATGTCGCGTGCTCTTGGTTGGGGATATCGATACAAACCGAGACAGCTGATGAAAACACTTACGCAAATATCTCGTGCACATTCAACGCCACTTGACCGATGGAGAATTCAAATCGAAGCATTGGAAATTAACAGATCCAATAACGAATTTGTTAACAGACGTCGACGTTTTTCCTCGTTCATGAGACATCCAAAGTTCATTCGCAATGCTGAGCAGCCATTCTACGACAATCATCGCACGCCGATCAATACATACTTTTTCAATTATATCAGTTTTGGACTGGATGCAGCTATTGTAGTTGATTATTATGCGAGCCGAACACGTCATCCATCTAAATTTACATCGCCACTCAAGAATAAAATCCTTTGTATAAATGAAAGTCGGAAGTATTTCAACGACTTTGCCTTTGGAATAGCATGGGACTTAACTTCATATATACGTTTAATCTGTGACGGACAAGATTTTACCGATTCGATACGACATTGTCATTCTCTTATTGTGCTCAATACTCGAAGCTTTGGTTCTGGTACTCATCCTTGGAGTGGAAAATCAAAGAATAGAATTGAATCATTATCAGATGACCATGAAGAAGATGATTCTTTCGATCAAATTTCGACACATTCCCTTCCAACACATGATTCACCTATCAATGATCATGATGAAAATCAAACGACAACGACTATTGGTGGTCTCGGCCGCGCTGCTTTAGATAATTTCGAGACACAGGATTTTGGTGATCGAAAGATTGAGGTACTCGGTTTAAATATAAGACAAATGGCTTTAATTCGCATGGGTTTTCGTGGTCATCGCATTACTCAATGCAGTCAACTACGCATCGAACTTAACCATCCGATGCCGGTGCATATGGATGGTGGACCCTTTTATCTCGCTGGATCGATGGCTGTCAATATCACACATGCTGGTCAAGTCATGGTCTTAACAAATCAAAACAGATAAATTTGAAGTTTTTTTTAATGGCAAAGATATTACTTTTGGATATTTGATTCATGAAAGAGAACAATAACACTGCTCTTAAACTACCGTAGTAAATATTCAGAAACAAAATCAACAATGGATTTTTTTCGATACAGACCGATTCTCTCTCTCCCTCTCTCTTCGAATTAAAAATTAAACAATGCAATCTACAGTGCACGTCAAAAGTCTTGCACCACGTTTTTTGTTTTGAGTGGTGTATTAAAGCTAGACAACATTAATTTAATTTGATTATATGCCTGTATAGTAGAAGTCGAGTACTCTATATATACATCTGTTTAATACGAAGAACTCTTGAATATAAAATACAATAATAAGAAATAAAGTTCAGTCCTAAGAAAAAAAAATGACATAAAAAAAGAAAAAATGATAATACATATGTTTAGAAGACTGTTTTGTTTTGCAATAGGGATTGTTTATACAGATTTATTGAGCTTTCGATGGCGCATCTTTTGAACAAAAATTCAAGATGCTATTGTTTTCTTCGGCCGAGATACATACAAAATATAAAAGTCTTCCAAATATTTTTATTATGTTAAATAAGGTGAGAAGTAGCACTATCATGTTTTTTTTCATTTCGAGCATGGAAGAAACCATCAGAATAAGTCAAAAAGGATTTGTTTTTACAGTTTTTGTAGAGCTGTGCAGAGATATTCATGAAACAAACTATGTTGCAAACATTTTGGAACACCAGGCATTTCAGTGTTTAATATTTTGACTATAACAACGTCATTTGTTAATGAAATTCAAAATGTTTTTATTTTTTACCAAAATGATTAGCGAGAAAAGCTCTAGAAAGTCTGATAAAGTGAAAAGTTTTCTGAATACTTTATGCTTTTTGTGGTTGATGATCCATGGCAGTATCCTATTACAACCATATCATTTTGTCTTTTTGTTTATGTCATTTTTTTCTTTTTATTATCTTTTATATATTCAAGAATTTTTTATATTAAACAAGTGTATATACATAGTGCTCGACTTCTACTATACAGGCATATAATCGAATTAAATTAACATTGTGTAGTTTTAATACATCACTCAAAACAAAATACGTGGTACGAGATTTTTGACGTGCATTGTAGATTAATGAAAAATTCAATTCATTCCATCATATATATCATAATATAATACGCACTATTGGAATATTATTTCTCGTACAATAACATACTCTTTGTGTATGATCAATTGACAGAAGATCAAACGTTGAATGTATGAATATTAGATTTAGAACAAAATAATTCGATCACTTTTGAAAAACAAGAAAGCTTCGAATGAATAACAAATTTCGTTAGGATATGTGCTTTTAGGAACTTCATCTAGAGTTCTATCTATTTTTCTGTAATTGAATTCCACTGAATGAAATCTACCTAAATCTTGAATGACGATATTCAGATCTGAAATTTCGTCCACAGATAGACATATTTATAAGTAGAATGTTCTCTTCATGAGATATTCATTTTCCAAAAGCTACGCATATGCCACAAAAATATTGAAGAATCTCGTGTTTTTATATCTATAGGTGAAATTTCAGATCAAACTATCGTCATCGAAGATTTTGGTAGATCCCATAACAAAGAATTCTAAAAAAAAGTTGCTGGATTTATGAAAATAAAATTGGGATCAAAACTAAAAAATTGATTTTTCAGTTTTCTATTTTTGAAGATATATTAGAAATGTTTGTTAAATATTAAAAAACTAAATCAGCAATTTTTGTTCTTTCATTTCCATATTCTTTTTTTTTTTTACAAAAAATTTCGTTAATTTTGAAAGTTTCAAATCAATTTAATCGAAAAATGTCAAGAATACATCAAGTGTTAGAAATAATCGCATTTTCTCTTATTAATTCGTGAATACTTTATGGATAAAGTTAAGGAACATCATATTCGATCTCATACCATAAAAAGTAAAAATGACATTTATCTTTTTATGATTGGTCGGTTTTTCAAGCTATATCTCACTGTGATTAAAGGTAAAAAATGGAAAAAAAAACAAAATAAAATCTATACTTGTGACAGATAAAGACACATCACCATAATATCATCAAAGGACGTCGTTTTGGCTTGTTCTCGGCTTTCTTCATAATAAACTAGTCAAGCATATCTGTACATGCTATTAAGTTAAAGTGATGTTGTTATTTTTAACGTCGTTTCACTGATTAATCGTATGTATTTTATATAAATTGTGTAAATCGTTATTAATAAGAATAAATCAATGTATCATGATTATTGTGTTTCATCAAAAAGACATCTGTCCTATAGGCGAGTTATATAAGAGCTATTCCACTTAACTCCTCATTGCTGTCCTAGTATCCGCATGGACCCATCATAGAAAATTACAAAGAACCAATACTTTTGTTTCATCCAAACTATTCATTTGTATTCTATAGACCTCTAAATACCCTTTTAATAGAAACTGACATGACAGTTTCCATAGTACTAATATGAAGATATACAACGTTCGGGAAAAAGATTGTTTGAAGCTGCTTTCAAACAGTATTCAAGTATAATATTATGGATGAGACGAGAAGCAGTTTTTTTTCTTTAGATATCTTTTTCTTTTTTTTTCATGATTAAAAAATTGAAAGACAATCATTTTTCTGTCACAATAATGAAGTTGTTCTCATTTAACCTTCTTTGGTGAATTCAATATTTTCTTCACATATCAGACAAGCTACTATAGTGATATTGCTAGAATGAGAAAGACAAACATTCTATCTACAGCTATGGAAGTTTTATTAGGCATTTCAGCCAGATTGTGCTGAACACAAATAACATATTCTTTTTGCTTCCATATGTTGCGGAGTGATCTTCTTTGTACATTTATCAATTTGAAAGAAAATAAGTTAGAAATTAATAAATAAATCTTGACTATAAATCGATTGCTAAATAGTGATTTACAAATTTGATCCTTATTTATGAATCGAGACTGAATTTATTAGTCTGGTAAGAATCGAAAAATCTAAGATCAATATTGGAATATACAGTGAAAGTGATTATAAATCCGGAAACAACTTGAGAACTTTGAGCTTTTCAAAAATCATTTCTGATTCTTCATTGAAATTTCTTGAATATGAAGTTTATTTGCATAAAATTTCAACACAATACATTTATCATCTATTTTTGGCAATTTTAGTTTTTGATATATTTTGTTTGAAATCTTGCAAAAATGATTTCTTCAAATTCAATTATTGAACCATCGCACGAATATTGTAAATATGATGTTAATTGCAAAAAAGCAGCTATGAATCACTGTCAAGGATGCGAACAAATATACTGTATGGATCATTATTTGGAACATCAAAGAAAAGTTCAAGAAGATTTTGAATATATAATACATATACAACACTTATTTAGGCTAAATTTCAAGTCATTTATGTCACTATCATCAACAGATACTATTTTAGATTTAAAAAAACAAATTCATGAATTCAAAACCAAATCAAAAGAAATTAAAAAAAGAATAAATATAATCCAACAACAGCTACAGGATATCATTTATCAAGATAAACAAAATTTGACAAATAGATTAGAACATTATCAGAATGATTGTCTTGAAAATGATATTGAACGATTAAGAAAAGATATTGAGGAACTACAATCAAAACTAGAAGAAATAAATCATGAAAATCAAACAAGATCATCAACAGAACAGCTGCATATAAATGATATAAACATTCAATCAAACAATTTACCTCAAACAATGAAATCATCGTCAACAAATCTTGTATCAGCGAACAAAAAAAATTGTTTACGATCTGTTGTTGATATTTCAAGAAATAGTGCGATACAACAAGCAGATGACACAACAGCACTACCTCATCGATATCTCAAACAAATGAATCCATTGATCATAGATATAAATGAAAATGAACGTGTTATAACTGACGAAGAGAACGAAACGTATCTCTTCAAAGAAGAAGAAATGATAGGGGTTATCGATTCAAATACAACATCAAGGATTAGTCATAAGATACGTCTTTCCCATAACTATATTCGATGGATACGAGGTCCCGCTAAAATAATGATGAATGGTATGACACACGTGGCTGACGTGTATACGCAAGGAATACATATCAATGGTGCTGTTGTACAAGCTATCAAGCAAGGATTAGACAAACAAAAGCAGAATGCGATGACCAAGAATTCATTAAAGTCAGCATTTACCGAAATTACACCAGATTGGACGTTTGAAGGCGAAAATGCTGATCGGGGTTTCATTAGCGTATCGATATGGATGCGTGATCCTCAAGGCCGAAGAATTTTAGTCAAAACACACGGACATCCATTATCTGCTGTCAATGAATGGCTAGCCTATATTCTAGGAAGATCGCTTGGTTTGCCTGTTAATGAGGTGCAGATTGCGATTTATCTAAATAAACTGGTTAGTTTACATACCGATATTGCAAATAAAAATGAAAAGACTATCACATTCATGGACTTACCAAAGCAAACAAGAAAATCTCTATTGACTTATTCAATAATGGAATCTATGGATCTATTCGATCATATTATACAGAATGTAGATCGTACTCCACGAAATATTTTAATTACAATGCCAAATACAACTGCTATTACTGATGATACTTCAATATTGAAGATACATCTAATCGATCATTCTTTCTGTTTTGGCGTAGGTAAACGTGATGTCATTAGTGCCATAGCCTGCAAGCTTCATAGTAAATATCTTTCGGTGGTTAAATTTGATCCAATAGATGAAGGAAGAAAATTCGAACAATACCTCAACAAACTACCGATAGCAGATCGGACTTTAATAAGAAACACGTTGAATCGGTTTGCAGCAATTACTGATGATCAATTTGATAGTTGGATGAACGAAGTACGTGATCTCCTATCATCCAGTCAATACAATCGTATACATGATGTCTTATGTCGACAACGAGACATTGCAAGATACTACACGGTACAATGGGGAATCTGTCCCACTTATTCAAGTATAAAACCAAA